GCCCGGGCTTCGCTCGTCCTCTGCGCCCTCTGCTGGCGCCGCGCGGTACCGCAGCCCGGCGCCGCCCGGCCGTGAGCAGGAGCGCGGGCCCGCGAGGCCACGTTCACTGCAGGACGAGAGGATGTGCACCGGCCCGCCGGGTGCAGACCCACCGAGGCCCCGCGGACCCCGGGCGGGAGCCCCTCGGGCGCGCAGCACGCCTTTGTTCAGGACGCCACTGTGGAGCCCGAGGGTCCCGCGCGAAGGGCTCGTGGGTGCTGAGGGCTGCGTGGCGGCGGAGGGTGTCACTTCGCAAAGGGGACAGAGCACAGTCACCTACAGCCAGGTTCGCACGCCCGAGGCAGGGGGCGGCCCTCTTGGAGTGGGGTCGCGCCTCCCCCAGCGCCTGGGCCGCTCTTCTTTGAGCACCTACTGTGTGCCCTGCTGCGGGGGGCAACAGAGATCCCGTCCTCAGGGGTCCTCTGGTTGTTCAGGCGTGCGCAGCCCTCGCCCCGGGAGCGTGCCGGCGCTGCTCACTCCGCCCCGCTCCCCGCAGGTGGGGTGACCACCTTTGTGGCCCTCTATGACTACGAGTCCCGGACAGAGACCGATCTGTCCTTCAAGAAAGGCGAGCGGCTCCAGATTGTCAATAACACGTGAGTGCCCTTCTGGGGGCCCCGCGGGGACTTCCGTGTGGGGAGTGGGGTCCCGCCCGCCGTGCGGAGCCGCCGCAGAGGGCGGCGCGGCTCCTGCGCCCTGGCCTGCGCCTCGCGCCCGCTCTCAGCGCCTCCTTCTCTGCTTCTCTCTCGCTGGCCCTCAGGAGGAAGGTGGACGTCAGGTGTGTACGCGCCGCGTGGGCGGCGGGCCGGGTGGCGGCTTCGCTGGGGCTTGGGGTGCTGTCTGCATGTGCGTCCTCCAGCCGGGTTCCTGCTGCGCTCTCTGCCCCCTGGCTGCCGCCACCTCCCCAGGCTTCTGAAGATCATCCCGCATCCCCAGGTTCACCAGGCCCCGCACGCTCACCTCACGCGTCCTCCTGGACCTCAGCCCACACTGAGCGCCAGCTGCACCAGGGCCTCCCCTAGCTGCCCAGTCCGGCCCCAGGGCAGGCAGAGGGCCCCGGCTCTGTGTCCCTCTGGAGTGACGCAGGAACTGGGAGGGGCAGGCAGGACTCCAGGGAAGGACAGTGAAGTTGTGTGCAGGGGGCGGTGCGGGAGGTGCAGAGCCAGGGGCTGACCTCGGGGCTGTGGAAGCCAGGAGTCTCTGGAGGGCAGAGGAGAGCCCTCCAGTGTCCTCAAAGGCCTGCCTAAGGAGGTCAGACGTTTCCCCCATCACTGAGCGTGCCTTGCCTGTTCATGTCTCTCTTCCCTTGTGCATGACGTTCCCTCTGCCTGGAACACCCTTCTTCCCATCTGCCTGGCGAACTCCTATTCATCCCTCAGGATCCAGTGCAGGACTGCCTTCTCTGGGGCAAAAGGGAACAGAGGTGCCAGTCACCTTCATCCGTGTTCTCCTCCTGTTTGCTCCTTTCTGTGATTCCTCCAGGCTAGCGGTGGTGGGAAGGCGGCTGCCTCCATTATGCAAATGAGGAAACTGAGGCTCAGAGTTGTGAAGGGTCCTTGTCCAAGGTCACGTGGCTGCCCAGTAACAAGGCCAGAGCTGGCACTTGGGCAGCGGCTCTGTCCCTTCTTCGGGCTGCTCTCTGGGCTGGGAGGGCTTCCCCGGCTCCCCTTCCGCCCCGCTGTATCAGAGCCCAGCTGTGGCTGGTTCTCTTACTGTCCCAGCTGTCCTCTGCTGCCCCCAAACTGGGAGTTCCTGAAGGCTGCTCTCTCATGCACCTCATTCAGGCTCCCCAGGTCACCTGCGGCCTGGCTCCCAGGGTGCCCAGCGGTACTGGGGGACAGGCTGAGGGATCAGAGTGTGACGAAACGGTTGCGTGTGCTGTGCCCTGAGTGTGAGCCGGCCCCGTGCCGCGCACGTTGAGGTGAATTATTTCATTGCTGTGCCACGAGAGTGCTGAGAAACGAGGCCTCTCACTCGCTGCATTTTACAGAGGAAGAAACGGAGGCCTGGGAGGTGAAATGACTTGCCCGAGGTCACACAGCTAGTAGTGGAGGTGCGAGGCGGGATGGCTTCCAGCCTGTGATCCACGGAGGACCCGGAAGAGGGGAAGGCCGGGCCGGGAGGGAGTGTGGGGTAACAGCGGGAAGTGCTGGGAGGCTGCCGGGGCTCAGGCTGGGGCTGGGTCACGGCCGGGGTGAAGGTGTGGGGCAAGCAGAGCTTAGGGACTTGGCCTCTGCCAGTGTCACCGGCAGAGTGACGCTTCCCTCCTTTTGTCCGGCCCCTTCCCTCCTTCCTTCTGCAGCCGAGAATCTGGAGCATGTGTGGCCAGGCTGAGGGTCCCTGATGGCGTGGAGAGGGGTTTGTGAGGTGGGGGCCCTGGACCGTCAGTGCTCACCCACCGCTCAGCCGCTAGTTGGATGGGGCAGAGCTGGGGCTGGCGTCAGAGCAGCAGGGGAGGCAAAGGAATTGGGGGTGGGGCTCAGGGGAAGATGGCCATTCAAACCTGAGGAGTTGGGTCCCGTACCCGCCGCAGGGACCATGGTGCTGTCCCTGCGGTGCTGCTCAGGGTCCTTCGTTGGCCCCGTGATGAGGCCCCGGCCTATGACAGAGGCCTTTCCAGGACTCTGTGTGAGCGCAGGGCAGGGTGGTGGCAGGCACAGCGTGAAGGTGGGCCTGGCTGCTGTTCAGGTTTGGCCCGGACGGCAGTGCTCACAGTGTGGAGTCTGCTGCGTGGCTCTTGCTGCTGAGTGGCCCTGGGTGTGAGGAAGCCCGCTGGGGTATAGGGTCCGACAGCCCCGTGCCCCCTGCTACCCAGAGCTCAGCAGCATCCCTGGGCAGCTTTCCAGCAGCCACTACCAAGTACCACATGCCAGCCGGCTTCTCCTTCCCTGGGCACCCTGGCAGGGGCACCTTAGGATGCCAGGGCTGCCAAGCACCCTGCCTTTGTGTCCTCCTCTCCAGACCTGCCTGGTCTCGCCCTCTCTCACCCACCTACCCCGTGCCCAGGCCCAGTGCTTGGACACCTAACTGCCTGGCCCCGCCCGGGGTCCCAGTGACCAGGCGTGCAGTTCCCAGAATGCGTCTTTGACCAGTCCCCACAGCCCGAGTGTTAATGTCACTGCTCAAATTGCCATCATGTCCCAGGTTCCAGAGCGGCCACACCCCTGGTCCTCAGGACTAGACACAAGGATTAGGGTTTAGTCTGGGGCATAGCGTGCGGGGCTGAGGTCACAGGGGAGCTGGGATGACAGCCTGGGCAGCCTGACTTCCAACCCAGATGGTGGTTGTGCAGTACAGCTGCTGTCATGCCTGCCCTGTCCTCCTCTGAGACACTGGGCAGTGACCCCCAAATGCCCTATGTTGATTTCGGGGAGCTGGGTGCTGTCGGCTGAATGCCCTGGCTTCTTCAGCCCTGCTTGGCCAGGCGCCTGCTTCCTGCCGGCTCTGCTTGCTTGGGTGGCTGGATGCCTCAGAAGCTGGGCAGCTTGCAAACTCTGGCTTTGTCCAGCTGCCTTGTTTCAGAGCCTGTGACCTCAGACGCTGGCACGGTTCTGGCACGGCCTGTCCCCTGCCCCCGCCCTGCTGCCCTGTCCTCCATCTTCCACTGGCTTCTCTGAGGGTGACCCCACTGTGAGGCCAGGGGTGGCTGCTGTATCTGCTCTGTGCAGTCCGGGCCCCTGCTCACCCTTGCCCTGCTGCTGATCTGCCGTGCAGCTTCGGGCAAATCACTCCCTCCTCTCTGCCTCATTTTCTCCGCTGGCAAAGAAGTCTTTGGCCTCGAAGCTTTCAAAGAGCTGTTCCTTGTGACTTTAGCTTCTGCTTTGTAGCTTTGGGCAAGTTGTTGCCTCGCTCTGTGCCTCAGTTTCCCCAGCTGTACAAAGAAAGTGCTGGTTTGGGGCTGCTCCTTCAACATCTGAGTCATGGTTTCCTCAGCCGGGGGCCAGGGCCTTGCTTCCTCCCTTGCAAGATGGGCTTGAGGGTCACAGGGGACAGAAAAAGATGTGGATGCCCCCAGTGGGTGCACAGAGGGGTTGGAGGGAGACTCGGGGCATGGCAGGGCCTCTCTCTGAGCCCCTGGGGGAGCTCATACCCGCCCAAGTGTGTGCAGTGGTCCCATCACAGCCTCACTTGCACCCCTTTGGCCTGGCTCCACCAGAACTCCCCCTCCCCGGCCCAGCGCAGCCAGGCTCACTGAACCCTGCCTGGGGGCTCGCTGGCCTCCGGGGGGTCCTACTCTCTCTTGCTGCAATGTCTCCATCTTTAAAAGGGGCTGAAGAGTATGGCTAGGGGCGGCTCAGGACCAGGAGCTAGAGGTCCGGCCCCGTTCCAGTGCAGACTGTGTGGCTGCAGGCAAGAGCCTCTCTCTGGGCTGGGGTCGGCGCTGCTGCTATCTTCTCAGGGTCCTCAGCAGAGACAGCTCAGCAAGCCGGCCAGCCCCGCTGCACATCACCTGGCTGTGTGACCTTGAGCCCAGGCCTTTACTTCCCTGGCCTCAGTCTTCCCATCTGTACAGGGGGAGTGGGGGGGCTGACCCTAGTCCCCAGGCTGCCCGGCCCGGTGTCATACCCTCAACTCCCCGTGGACCCTCTCCTGTCCCTGTTGGTTGCTTTGGATGTGAGGCCTCTGTGGCTGCCCCTTCAACCCCTTCCCTGGCTCCGCCTGGCTCTCCCGCTCTCTCCTTGCTCTTCCTGCCTCGCTGCCTCTCACCACCCCCATCTCTGCCTCTTCTCTCCTGTCGGGCTCTCGCTTGCTCCTCCCTCCTCTGTTTCTGGACCCCCGCTCCAGCCAGACCTGGTTCACATTCAGATGGCTGCAAAGGTACTTCCGCCCCTCCCCCACGCCCAGGCCTGGGGACCCAACCCGGCTGGGCGTCCCTCCCGCCCGGTCCCATCACCTCCTCCTCCTCGTGGGGCAGTTAGCACAGCCGTGCCCTGGGCCTGGAGCTCTGCCACCTTGTCCCCCTCCCCATGCCTCACTGTGTGTCTTTGGGCAAGTCCTAGCCCCCTCTGGCCTCAGTTTCCCCCTGCACATGGGTAGGTCACAGGAGGAGGTCTCTAGTTTCCGGCTCAGGACCTTTAGGTGTGACCTGGACTTGTGACAGAGGCGAGCACTGCTACTGTAGTTTCTGGGCTGGTGCCTGGATGGCCACTGGGCTTTGAAAGGGCCACCCCGTGCCGCTCCCGGGGTCTCGCCAGCCCTTAGCTCTGGGCTTCCGAGTCTCACGCTGGGTGGACTGTGCCAGTCTAGTTTCACATCCGTCTCTGACAGGGGTCTTCTCTCAGGTACAGCGTTGCTTGTCCCCAGAGGCGGGGCGCTCCCTCCCAAGGCAGCCCTTTGCGTCTTGAGGGGCCTTGGTGCATCGGCAGGAATGCTCCCTTCCCGTCCAGGACCGTGCTGCTGCAGAGCTGGGCCTCAGGCTGAGCAAGCTCAGTCCTGCCATGCAGCTAGCTCATCTGAGCCAGCTTTGCCAGGGGCATGTGGGCCGGGAGGGGACAAATTCCAGGCCAAGGCCCACAGCCTCCCTGTGCCTCACTGGCTGTCGCCGGCACAGCGCCTGGGCGGAGAGCAGACACCTGGGCTCGCTGATGATGGCCCTTCCTTCTTTGCTCCCTTCTCCTCCTGCTCAGAGAGGGAGACTGGTGGCTGGCACACTCGCTGAGCACAGGGCAGACGGGCTACATCCCCAGCAACTATGTGGCGCCCTCGGACTCCATCCAGGCTGAGGAGTGAGTATTGGCCCCTGGCCGCGTCAGCCTGTCCGTCCTGTGGGAGTGGGAGGCAGGGCTGCCCAGGGCCCAGCCTGGGGAGAGGTGCAGTTGGCGGTGGGAGCCTGGGCCAGACACTGTGTTTGTCTCTCCCCCCCAGGTGGTACTTTGGCAAGATCACCCGGCGGGAGTCGGAGCGGTTGCTGCTCAACACGGAAAACCCAAGAGGGACCTTCCTGGTGCGAGAAAGCGAGACCACAAAAGGTAGGCGCTCTTGTGCTGCTGCTGGAAGCATTTCTCTTGTCAGCTGTTCAGGCTGGTGTTGCGGAATGAATAGTAGTTTGGAATACAGAGTGGGAAGAGCCCCTTATATGGAAGAAACAGCAGAATCAAAGTCCGGGAGGTGTATTTGAGGGATGCTGAGAGCAGTCTGGGGGCCAGAAGGGCCGTGAAAGACGAGGCTTTGTTTCTTTGGACTTAGTTGCTCCGGATAGGAATGGGCACTGGTCATCGGGAGGTCTGAGTGCCACCCAGGAAAAGACTGCTTCCCAGGGCGGATGCTGATACAGTAGACCCCCTCTTCTCCCCAGAGGCCTCTGGGGACCTCGCTTCGCCCTTCCCCCCATAGTCCTAGCTCATTCCTCTCTGCCCCTCCCCCAGTGAGAGTGAGGAGCGTCCCCCTCTCTCCCCTCCGAAAGTGGGTTGCAGGCGCCCTGTCACTATGGCAACCACGCTGGGCTGCTTCCTGAGGGCCCGGGGCTCAGCGGGAGCTGGGAAAGCAGAGCACCCATGTCCTGCATGTGTGTTCTGAGCAGGTGTGCGGCCAGATACACTTGCCAGATACACTGTGTGAAGGGCCTCTTATGCACGTAGGGGTGGGACCGGCCGTGTGTCGCTGTGTGGGAGGGACAGCGTGGCTTTGTTCCCATGCCCGGGGTCTGGGGCGCGTGCGTAGCTGTGAGCAGGCATGCCTGTGCACGTGTGCACTTGTGCCCGGGGCTGGTGTCAGCCTCAGGCCTGGGCCTCTGGCGCGCACAGTCCAGGCCGTCTACAGTGTACCGGGCTGCCCAGTGCAGCCTTTAGCCGCTTGGGTAAGGGTTTAGGTCCCAGCTCCGTGCCTGACTCACTGGGTGACCTGGGCCGAACCACGTTCCCTCACTTTTCCCTTCTTTACACTGAGGTGTCATGCTCCCCTTGAGGACTGTCCAGGGGGCGGTCCCAGCCCCATGGGGCTGGCCTTCCATCCCATGGCTGCACGCTGCCTGGAGGTTCCTGAGCAGTGCCTTCTCTGGTCTTGGCGTCTGTGACCTGTCACTGGGGCTCAGCCTTGTTCCCTGCTGGCACCCAGGTGTCCCTGGGTTCCAGTTAACAGAGGATCCCAGCCAGGTGTGCCTGGCAGGTGGAGTCTACTTTAGTGAGAGCTTTTGTCAGCTTGGGAGGCTTGGCCTCGGCAACCTACAGGTCATCCCCAGCCGCCCAGTTAGCATTTGTTGAGTGCCTACTGCGTCCCTGGCACTCTCCTGTGTAGCTGTATTGAATCTTCCCGGCAGCCCTAGGGGCCCCCTGTTACGCAGAGGAAGAAACTGAGGCCCAGGATGGCCAAGCAGCTTGTCAAGTCACACAGTTGGGCTGCACACCCGGATTTGAGATCTTGCCCGGGCCCAAGGGCTTGTGGCGGGACTGTTACTCGCTGGGCTGCGCCTTGGTGGCTGCCCCTGAGGCAGGTAGAGAGAGAGGGGCGGCCTTGGGGCTTCCCTGTGGTGTTGGGCAGGCAGGACACTGCTCAGGCATTGCTCAGGACTGCGACCTGTGGAGGTGACTGCTGTGATCGTGGTCCTTTTCCCTGGCTGTGCCCGCAGGTGCCTACTGCCTCTCCGTGTCTGACTTCGACAATGCTAAGGGCCTCAACGTGAAGCACTACAAGATCCGCAAGCTGGACAACGGCGGCTTCTACATCACTTCACGCACCCAGTTCAACAGCCTGCAGCAGCTCGTCGCCTATTACTCCAGTGAGCTCTGGGGATGCCCTGGCCTCAGCTGCAGACCCTGGGAGGGGCCCTGGCCCCACAGGGCAGGGGCTTCAATTCTCCTGAGGATGCACCCGTCACCTGCCCCGTCTCCTTCCCTGCTCCGTGGCCCCACTGCCTTCTACCCCCACCCCTGTCTTTCCTCCTCCTCCTTTTCCCTGACCCTCTGCCCTTCCCGCTTCCTCCCCTCGCTGGCTGGCAAGGAGGGGCTGCCTGGCAAGAGCTGGCAGGGAGGAGCATGGGCTGGTGTTGTCTCTGCAGCCCCAGGACTAGGAGAGCAGGGGGAGGGGTGGCCACATTGATTGCAGCCAGATTGGAGGAGAGGGTGGCAGAGGCGCACTGAGCCCAGGTGCTGGGTGCTGCAGTGGGGCACAGGGCACAGCCATCTGGAGGTGGACCTGTGTGTGCCTGCGTGGTCTGCCTCTCACCTGGCGCACCCCCCCCTCACCTGGGCCATCCACCTTCCTCTAGGTTCAGTCACTGCTCTGGGGTGAATGCTTAGCCCTGTTCCCCAGACCCACCCTCCCGGGGCTACTGTCTTGGCACCCAGGATAGAGACCCAAGCGCCCCTAGCCCCTGATGTCCAGCCCACACCCTGCTGTCCTGCACACACAGCTCTCCCTGGTCATTCTGTGGTCCTGGAGGGTGGCTAGGGGGAAGTCTGCTTGCCCTGGGGTGTGAGCTCCCTAAGGGCAGCTCCACGGGCTTCCCCCTCACGGTCCCTGTCACCCTTCGAGCCCTGTGAGTGAAGGAGGGAATGGCAGGCCCCACCAGCCGTGCACAGGGCCGCGAGCCCAGGCGGGCGGGTGTAGATGTGTGGGTGTGGGCGCCCAGAGCGCACCGTGAGCCCCACTCAGCCCTGCTCCCGCCTTCTCTTCAGAACACGCTGATGGCCTGTGCCACCGCCTCACCACCGTGTGCCCCACGTCCAAGCCGCAGACCCAGGGCCTGGCCAAGGACGCCTGGGAGATCCCCCGGGAGTCCCTGCGGCTGGAGGTCAAGCTGGGCCAGGGCTGCTTCGGGGAGGTGTGGATGGGTAAGGAGCTGGGGCCCTGGGGAGGGGCGTTAATGTGGTCCTCTGAGAACAGGCAGGGCTCCGTGGTTCCCTTTCCCTTTAAGTGCCTCTGCAAAGAAAGGGACCCACTTTTAAATGTGGAGCTTCCCAGTGGTGGCCCTCAAGTGTGGTCACCTACTGTACGATGAAAACCCAGGTCCTCGTGTAAGGGGCGAACTGCACTCGCTCAGTGGGCCTCAGGGAGCTGGCCCAGGGGCTGAAATCTTGATTCCTAGGAGAGCCCCCAGATTGGCGCAGATGAGGAAAACAGGCTGAGGGAGGGGACCCCACTCGCCCGGGCCTCCTGACTCCTCCCATGGTCTCCCTTGGTGCAGCAGCTTGCTTTTCAGGGTGTGCAGGCTCGGGAGGCAGCCTCTTGTTCTTGTGGCCGTAGCGGCCCGGGACCCAGCTCTGCCTCCCCGCTGGACACGTCTGTTCGCCGATGGTGGGGCGTCTTACGTGCCGTACGCACTGTAGCTGGCAGGAAGGGGTGCCCAGGAGATGCCACTGAATTGGGAACTGCGGTCTCTGTCTGTCAGGCTGCTGTGTTGAGTTGAGAGACAGACAGTCCTCCTGATCTGTCCTGACCCGGCTCCTGTTTCATGAGCAGTGCCAGAAGCTCATGTCGGCCTCTTAACAACCCTGTGAGGCGCACCTCGTTCTCGTGCCCAATTTATAGCTGGGATTACTGAGATTTACAAGGAGCCTCCTCATGGGTGTGCTTGTGATATGGTGAGGGAGGCCAGGGCTGAGCCCGGCCCTCAGGCAGGCAGGTCCTGTCCTTGGGTGGCGAGAGTGGGGCTTCCACTGAGGAAGCCTTTGTCCCTGCCCCGCAGGAACCTGGAATGGCACCACCAGGGTGGCCATCAAGACCCTGAAGCCGGGCACCATGTCTCCGGAGGCCTTCCTGCAGGAGGCCCAGGTCATGAAGAAACTGAGGCACGAGAAGCTGGTGCAGCTGTATGCCGTGGTATCTGAGGAGCCCATCTACATTGTCACGGAGTATATGAGCAAGGGTGAGACCCGGGTGGCTGGCCAAGGGACCCCAGGGTGACTGCCAGAGCTGTCTTGGTCACTTTTCTCTCATTGCTGAGACAAAATAGCTGACACCCATAATTAAAGAAGGAAAGGTTTATTTAGCTTACAGTTTGTGGAGGTTTCAGTCCATACTTGGCTGGCTCCAAGGCAGAGTGGCACATGGCAGAGGGCAACAGTTCATGGTGGCAGAAAAGAGTGAAAGGGGAGAACAAGCCTCTTTTCCTCCCTTATATTGTAGGCAGGCTGCCCCCACCATGATGAACAAAGTGAGGACCCCCTGCCCCACCAGCCCCTGCTGAGTCCCTTAGTTAACCTTCTAAACTTCTCAAGTTGACACAATGAACAGCATCCCAGAGCCTAAGGGCATGTCCTTTTCACCCCAGGATATAGAACTGCTGAGTCACTTAGAAGCCTCTAGACTCTTCAAATTGACACAATGTATCAGCCATAACACCTCCTCACCTCCCCAAAGTGTGTTTCTTTTTGTTTTTTTTTGTGTTGGAGATTGAACCCAAGGCCTTCACACCAGACGTTTTTTTAAATTTTGAAACAGGGTCTTCCTGAGTCACAAAATTGCCCAGGCTGAGCTTGAATTTGTGGCCCCCTGGAGCGCTGGGATTACAGGCGTGTGCCGCTGTGTCTGCCCGCCAGTGCCTTTCACAGGTGGCGTGGCTCAGGATCAAAACCACATGTCGGCCACAACTTACACAGAGACTGTCTTTCTCCTCTCACTTTGTTCTCAGTGGTTTCTCACCGTGCATCATTTGCTGATTTTCTAAAGCTGTTTGCTATTCTCAGGCTAAGAGAGAACTCTTCAGCCCTCCAACTTGAGCCAGGGCCTTGACCTTGACTTAATTTTTATCTTATTTTGAGATAGGGTCTCACTATGTAGTTCAGGCTAGCCTTGAACTCACTGTGTAGCCCGGGCTGGCTGTGAATTAATCCTCCTGCCTCAGCCTCCTGAGTGCTGGGATTACAGACATGTGTCACCATGCCCAGCTATTAACTTACTATTTTAAAAATTACTTATTTAAAATTCCATTTTTAAAAACTTAGGATAAAATACATCCATTTTAAGTGTCTAGCTGAATGAGTTTTAACCAGTGGGTTCTCTGTGTATGCCTTCCAATCCAGACATACAGTGTCTCCCTCACTCAGAAAGTTGCCTGTTCCCCTTGACAGACAGTAGTCCCTGGTGCCCCAAACTCAGATGAGCTCTGATCTGCTTTCTGTCCTGGTAGACTTCTGTTTACTGTTCGACTTCATTGCAAAGTTGCCCAGGCTGTGCTTGAACTTTCGGGTCCTCCAGAATGCTGGGGTTACAGGTGTGCACCACTGTGCCGGCTAGCTGGTCTCTTTTTGCTGCCAAATAGGATCCTGCTGTGTGCACACGCCTGTCCATCCCTCTGGGGCTTCTGAGACCTGCTGAGGGAGGCTGGAGCTGGCTTGGCAGTGAATCTCCTGTGCTGATGCAGCGGGGCCAGTGTATAGGGGGGCACAGGAGCCAGGAGTCGCTGCATCTTGCCAGGGGCAGGATGGGGCAGGACTGGAACTGGCTCTCTCTCTTTTGCTCAGGGAGTTTGCTGGACTTCCTCAAGGGGGAGACGGGCAAGTACCTGCGGCTGCCTCAGCTGGTGGACATGGCTGCTCAGGTGAGTGAGTCCCTCCTGCTTCCCCCACCTTTGCCCTTAGAACACTCAGATCCAGCTGGCTCAGCCAGTTTTGGCCTCTTGAGCGCCCCCTCCAGGAGGCCTGCCTTGATTTCCGCACGCTCATCTTGCTGCCTGTATGACAGGAACCGCTTATAGTTTCCTTGAGTGGTGGTTCTGGACAGAGGACCTTAACTGGGCATCAGCAGCCCCTGACTTGCTGTGAGACCTTTTGGCCTCAGTTTTTTTCTCTGTGAAGTCACTCAACAAGTGTGTAGGCAGAACTCGAGATCTTTTTTCATTTACTCTTGATCAGAATCAGGAGAGGTAGAGATTGGATGGATGCGAAAACAGGCTCAGACAGGGGACTTGGGACAGCTGGCAGGGCCTGTCACGCATCTGTGGGTGAGCTGGGGCCTCTTTGTCATGGTCACTCCACTTCCCTGGCTGCTTCTCACTGTGAGCCATTCCATTACCCTCACTGCTCTTCCTGCTGGGTGCTGGCCTGCTTCATAAGCCAGCGGTGTTATTGTGAGCTGACTCCTTGTGCCGGAAGAAGTGGGGAAGGCAGAGTACAGGTGGCCCTGCGCCCCTGGGGGGACCCAAGGCTGTGTGGGTGCAGCCTCTGAGCCAGGCACCTGTGTGCTGCCTGCAGATCGCCTCGGGCATGGCGTACGTGGAGCGGATGAACTATGTCCACCGGGACCTGCGTGCTGCCAACATCCTGGTTGGGGAGAACCTGGTGTGCAAAGTGGCTGACTTCGGGCTGGCCCGGCTCATCGAGGACAATGAGTACACAGCCCGGCAAGGTGCGTGGGGGCATTGGCTGTGGGACCCCGGGCAGGTCCTACGTCTGATCTAAGCCTCAGTTTCCTCATCTGTGGCAGAGCTGCGGTAATGCACTGCTGAGCCTCCTGCCCCTTCTCACGCCTATAGGAGCCAAGTTCCCCATCAAGTGGACAGCCCCGGAAGCCGCCCTCTATGGCCGCTTTACCATCAAGTCGGACGTGTGGTCCTTTGGAATCCTGCTGACCGAGCTCACAACAAAGGGCCGGGTACCCTACCCTGGTGAGAAGGGGTCACACAGCCCATCAGTGATCCCTGAACCCCTCAGCCTGGTGGTCTTGGGCAGTACTCACCCCTCCCTCAGTTCCCCCATGTGTATAACGAAGAGCCCAAGCCTCTAATCTTAGGCTCTGTATGGTAGGGCCCCTGGTCTTAGGGACACACATACCCCCGGGCCCTGCATGTCCCAGTGGGAAGCCTTCTTGTCCTGCCCCCTCTCCCCACTCCTCCTGGAGCCAGGCTCCTCACGCTGCCTGTGCCCACAGGGATGGTGAACCGCGAGGTGCTGGACCAGGTGGAGCGGGGCTACCGCATGCCCTGCCCGCCCGAGTGCCCTGAGTCCCTGCACGACCTCATGTGCCAGTGCTGGCGGAAGGAGCCAGAGGAGCGGCCCACCTTCGAGTACCTGCAGGCCTTCCTGGAGGACTACTTCACATCCACCGAGCCCCAGTACCAGCCCGGGGAGAACCTATAGGGCAGGCTGCCCTGCCGGGCCGGGCCCTGGGTGGGCCTGTGGGGTCTGCACCTTCCACCTGCCGCTGTCGACCCTCCCTCCTGGGATGAATTGCCAGGGATGAGGCCCTCCTGTCCTTGGGTGGATGGCAGGGCTTCGGGTCTATGGAGTCCACAGCCGGCACAGTGACTGTCGGAGCACTGCAGTGGCCACACACCTCTTTGTCCCTCGGGGCTCTGCTCGTCACCCGAGGAGGATCTGAGAAAGGGGTCAGATGCCGTGTCTCACCTCCACCTGCTGCCTGTGCCCGGCCCCTCCCTTGGACGCCCCTAGGTCCGTCTCACGAGCTGGCCAAAGAGCCTTTCCAAAGAGGAGCGATGGCCCTGGGCCTCAGCTGCTGCCCTGCCCTGCCCTGCCGTCCATTTGGACTCGGCTGTGGGTGGAGGTTGCAGGGCCCAGACCCCTCTGTCGCTGGTCCTGGTCGGGCAGCGCGCAGCCCAGCGTGGCTGGGTGATGGTGGATGGGATGAGGACCCCCCTCCAGCTGTGCCCCTCTTCCACCCCAGGGGCCCTTGGAGATCATCAGTTCCTTTCTCCCATTTCCCCACGGGGAGGCTGAGTCCAGACGGGATGTAACTTGCCTAGGGCCACAGTGTAGTAAGGGTTGAGGCGGCGGGCTTGGTACCCGGTGCTCCGTCTGTCTTCCTCAGGAACCAATGAGAATTGTCTTCAGAGGCATCTCAGAGCGGGGCAGCCGAGGGGACAGGGGACCTCAAGATGGGTCAGAGGTAGCAGGGGTCCCACTGTCCCTGTGTGCTTGGCTCAGCCCACCTGCTGTGGAGGAAGGGAACAGGGCTGGTGTGAGGCTAAGCTAGAAGCGGGGTGAAGGTACGGCAAGCAGGCTTCGGTCAGAATGTAGGTGAGCTCTGGAGCCAGCCAACCACAAAAGGGAGTCGGCGCCCGGGCTCTGGAGCAATCAAGTAGTCAAAGAGCAGTGAGGCTGGGAGGCCCTGGTCCTGGGCTCAGGCGGTAACCTCCTGTCCCCCAGCTTGTCCTGAGCATTTCAACATGTGGCCCCTGCTCTCCTTCCTGGATGGGCACCCCTGAATCATGAGTAGGGTGAGGGGTACCCTGGCTGGGGTCAGAGCAAGGGTGCCCACGGGCACACACTGCTGTGTGACTTGGGGGCCCTGCTTTGTCTGTGAGCTGGACTTCTGCCCTATGTGTGGCTGCAGCCTCTGTAACTGCTCTGCTCCCATCAGACCCTGTGGTGGGAGCCCAAGGCGAGCACAGCCCTGGACAGCGGGAGATTGGGTCCTGGCTCTGCTGTTCAGCCGTAGGGTATGTGGTGGCTTCCTCTTGGGCCTCAGTATGGCCATCTGTAAAATGGACAGCTGACAAATTAGTGTCATCCTGCCAAGGGCCCATCAGTGTATGTGTATGTGTGTGTGTGTATGTGTGCACATCTGTGTGTATCTCCATGTGTGTCCATATTTAACATGTAAAAACCGCCCCAGCTCTGTCCCCACACGTGTTGTACATTTCACCAGTGCCCCCATCACAGCAATAACATCCCACTGCCGGGGCCCTCGAGCCAGCCTGGGCTTGGCACTGGGGAAGGAGGCCGAGTGGAGCCTGCTGATGAGGCTCCCATGCTCCCTTCCCTTCGCGCTCATCACTGAAGTCTCCTCCCGTCCGTCTGGGTCAGATCTGGGTTCACTTCCCCTGCGTGCCCTCAAATCCCCCTCCAACTGCCCTGGGCCCTTTGTATAAGGTGTCCTAATACTGTCCTATTTTTTTTTAAAACAGTGTTTTGTAGATTTCAGATGACTATGCAGAGGCCTGGGGGACCCCTGGCTCTGGGCAGGGCCTGGGGGTCCCACATTCCATGGCCCAGGATTAGGGGGGAGGGGGGATCAGAAATCGGTTGTAAATACTTTGCATATTGTCTGATTAAACACAAACAGACCTCAGTGTGGCTGATGGTTTACTGAGCACCTACAGTGTGTGGCGAGATGAGGGGTGGGCTGTGGCTAGACTGCAGTCGGGGCCTTTGTTCCACACCACTGGTAGCTGGAGGGCTTTGGACCAGGCGGTGGGGACAAGGTCAGATCCGGGCCGGCCGTGGGGGAGATGGCCATGCACACGTACCGTGTGTATCTGCATTGTGTTTGGGAGAAGCACCAGGCCTAAGCCAAGACCCAAAAAGCGGGAGAAGTACAGGTGACCCCGGAGGTGAGCAGGGCTGCCAGGCCTGCGTGGAGTGTGGCGCTGTATGTGCTGTTGGGTGTTTCCTGGCATGCAGGGCAAGGTGGGGTGGACCCGGGAAGGACCCCAGCACACTGAGACAAATCCATCCGCTACCCCTGGCACTCAAAGACGCAGCCTGGAAAGGACCCCTAGCACTCAAAGATGCAGCCACAGTCCCTGAGAGGGTCTTTATTTTACATCAGCCTGCGCTTGCACAGGCAGCCACCTCTGGCCTCTTCAACGGTGCTTAATTAAAAACAAATGTCGGAGCTGGACGTTTCTCAGTTCAGTGTTGTTTTCACAAGCCGAATACTGCGGTACCCCGGGCAGTGTGGAGCCCCAGGCCCCAGTGTGGGAACCTGTGTTTGGGGACGGGGTGGGACACAGGTTAGAGTTGTGGCAGCTGTCCTCTGGCTGCGTGTGGGGTGGCTGCAAGCCTGTGTGCTCCGGGGGTCAGAGTTTGCTTACAGGTGCGCTGTTTGGATGTTTGTGAACCAGCATGTGTCTAGGCCGAGTGTGGATCTGGGCCACGCGTCCCCCAGTGTTGATGGGGGGTGAGGGAGTGGGTTTTGCTCAGGTGATTCGCGCAGGATGTGTGTGCTGCCCAGGCAAAAACCAAGTGGACGTGTGTGGGGCAGTGGTGCCCAGGGGTGTGCCCTGCGGTCTGTGTAAGATCAGGTGCTTACCCCGTGCTGCGGGGCCGCTTCAGAGGCTCCTCGTGCTAATCTGGTGGGGCAGAATTCTTGCCCCACGCTGTCACTGCGGGTGGCGGCGGTGCACCTGGGAGACGCTTTAAGTGGGGCCCAGCCTCGCAGTCGTCTGTCCACAGAGTGGGGCTTTTCTCACCCTTCTCGTGCTGTGTCCTCGCAGCTCTCCGGCGTGCTGTGTTGACATTTAGGATTCTTCCTGTCCCTTGTGCTGAGTCCCTCTCCTTTCTTGGTCCATCTCTGCAAGCTTCTGACATTTGCCTGTGTGTGTCCCACTGCCGCTGGTTTGCGTCCTCTGTGCCTCCCTGCGGTGCGGTTTCTCCAGCTCTTCCCCTATCTCTTTCTCGCGCAGGTTTTCAGCCCTGTCCATCTCCCCACATCCCCGGCACCCCCACACATTCATACAGGAAAAGCCAAATCCAAGCTTTCCCCAGCTGAGTGTGGTGGTACATTCTTGTCATCCCAGCACTCAGGAGGCCGAGGCAGGAGGATCAAAAGTTCAAGCCCACCCCGGGGCTGGGAGTGTAGTTCGGTGGGAAGGCCCTGCCCCGCCAAAACAAGACTTCCCTGGGACCAGTCCTGCCATGGCCTCTGTGCAAGTGAGTGTGTGTGTGTGTGTGAAGTACGGCACTTGCCTGTGGACGTGAGGCAGGAGTCTGCCTGGGGGTCTGTTTGCTCCTCCTGCCTCCCTTTCTCCGGGGTTTTATTGATTTCCCTGCCAGTGTTGCACACCCTGTGTTGTGTTGCGTGTGTGATATGTGGGGTGTGTACACTGCCTCCCTGGCTGCTCGCAGTGGTTTCTTGCCATCTTCCTTCCCTTGTGAATTCTTCTGACTGGACCTTGTGTAGGGTGTTCATGTGGTGTCTGCACACACACACGCACACACGCATGTACACACACTGTACTTTCTCTCTGTCATCTTTGCCTGTTTCTCTTCTGTGTGTTCCAAAAGCTTTGGTTTTCAGAGAGAAAAAGACCGGCGGAGGCTGACAAGCAGCAGAAACACGGAATGGGGCCGGACCGTGGGGAAGGGACCACGCGGACTGGTGGCGGGAGTCAGGGCGCGCGGCTGGGCTGTGTCAGTCTGTCTGCGTGCAGCCTGGGTCTTGCTGTCCCCAGCCCTCCCCTCTCTGGGCCCGTCCCCCAGGGCAGGTCTCCCGGTCCTGGGCCTGAGCCCTCTGTGGTCTGTCAGCTTCTGCCTCCTGCTCCTGGTGCTGTGGTCTCACTCAGTGCTGTCTTTCTCTGAGGGTCCCATCCCCCAGGGGTGTGTGTGTGTGTGTGTGTGTGTGTGTGTGTGTGTGTGTCCACCTGGGAGGGCTGCTTCCGTGTGGCAGGGAGTGCGTATTCTGTGTCCCGTCCCCCTGACCTGCAGGCTCTTCCTCGCTTCATGCTTGCTGCCTTTAGCATGTGTCCATCTGTGTCCATACGTGTCCTGTGCATGCTCTTTTTTTATGGTCTGGGGGGTGGAACCCAGGGCCTCACCCGTGCTTCCCAAATGCCCTGCCACTGAGCTGTACCCCAGCCCTGTGTGCACGAATCTCTTATTCACCCCTTTTTCCTGGCCCTGGCCCCACTTGCAGCCCTGCGCTCCCTCCAGCTGCAGACTCAGGGCTGGCCTCCTGGGCGGCTTCCCTTTGACATCCCTGCACACCCCTCCTTGGCCGTGCGCCTGTCCCTGCAGGTCCCTTGGCCGAGACGCCCCCGCCCCAAGCTCTGCTCCCTCCAGCACAGGCGCAGTGGCTCCACCCTCTTGCCTACCTGCCGCCTTAGCCTTTCATTCCCTCTTCCCCGCTCAGGTCCTGTCTCCCTCACCCTTTCCAGCTGGCTCCAGCCAGGACTGGGTCCTCACTTCGGCTTCTGCCGGCAGCGCTGCCCTTTTCTTCAGCCTTCCCGCGGTCCCAGTCCTGGGTCCCTTTGTGTCAGGGCTCCCTGCACTGAGCTCTGTCCTGACCTTGGCTGGGCTGGACACTCTTTCACAGCCCCCATTAGGACTTTTTGGGCCCTTCTTCCATAAAAGAAAATCAAGTGTTAGGACAACATCAGTATAAAGGTGAATATATTAATGTTACATATTAAAACATTTTCTTGGGGCTGGGGGTGTGACTCCGTGGTAGAGGGCCTACCTAGTGTGAGCACGGTTTCCATCCCCAGTCCTGCAAAAAAATTTTTTTTCTTTGAGCTAAGGTTTATTTTTTCTTCTAATTTTAAGAGAAATTTAAACATTTCAATGGCCCCTTACGTTCTTATGGGCTGATTCGCTGATTGCCTCTTCTGGCCGGGCCTGGGCACGCGCTGCTGGTGGCGGCTGTGCGTCCTCTGTGCCCGCTGACCTCACTGTCTCTGCACCATTCTGTACCCGCCTGCCCTCGGCCCAGCAAGGGTGCGTCCCGCACAGGCGGGCCTGGGAGTGTGCGCTCACCTCCCTGTCTGTCTCTCTCACCCAGCAGGTCTTTCTGTTCCTTCCTCCAACTAGCAAGAGTGGCCTTTGTGTCTGTCCATGGGAGGGTGGAGGCTGGCTCAGGCTCCTGGGCCTCCGGCAGACCCGCAGGGTTTCAGTGTGCGCTCTGCCCTCAGCCTGCCCTGGCTGCCTGCTCCTGCCTTGGGGCTCACTGCTGTGGGCTGGGGATTTGTTTCCTTTCACTCTCACGGCTCTTCCCAGCACACGCATTGTGAGCAGGTGCTCCTGCCTGGCTGTGTGTGTGTGTATGTGTGTGTGTGTGTGTGCGTGCGCGCGTTTCTTCACTGTCGTTTCCTGATCCGTTTGCAGTGCTCTCCTCTCTCTGTGCCCCGCGCCTTCCTCTCCCACCCTCCCTCTCCCTCCCAGCTTCACTTTCCCAGGTGCGCAAGCCTTCGCCCACTCCACACTCACTGGTCACTGCTTTGTTCCCTTGCCAAGTGGCCACAGAGCCCCTGCTATTGTTGTGACCCTGGTGTGAGGGAGGGTCAGCTGGGGTCCAGCTCCCACAAGCTACCTGCTGTGGAACAGAACACATGCAGAGAGGCCCGAGGCCTGGGGAAGGCAGGTCCTGAGCTTGTCGGAGGAGCGGGTAGCCCAGCGAGGGCCTTAGAGTGGGGGAGCAGGTGGTGGGGTAGCAGTGGGATGTACTCCTGCAAAGGCCCAGGGCGGGACAGGTGTGAAGTCATTCCTCCTCACTTTACCTGTTCTGTGATATGTGGTTGTGTGTGTGTTTCCTCGGATCCTGATCCCCTTCTCCAGCCCCTGCACCCCGAGTCTTCTCCCGCTGTCCTGTCCAGGTTGTGTGTGCAGTGTGCATGTTGCATGGCTGTGCAGTGCACTGCAGGGTGGGTGCGCTATGTGTGGTGTAGTGTGCCCTTGGGGTGTCGTGATGTGTGGCCCCTTGTTGCTGCCTGAATCCAGCATGGGCCACCCCAAGGGACTGTGACATCTACTGAGACACTTCCTCTCTTTGGTCATCTGCCTGTCCTTCAGAGTTCCTGCCCTGCTGTTCATGGAGATGCCGGGATGGGATGGCCACCCCTCTCTCATCGTCTTTCTCTGGCTGTTTTCCTGTCTTTGTTTCTATTCCTGTGTCTCTGTCTTTGTCTTTTGTTCTTTCTTTTTGTACCTCTATGTCCGCAACTCTCTGTCTCTGTCTGTCTTGGCCTCTTAGCTTTAGCTGATTTCTGAATTACTGCTCAAGCATAGTGAGTTTTTTCCCTTGAAGACGGGCACGAGAGTGTCCCACGCGCTCTTCCCAAGGGCTGGGTGGTCACCCACCTCCCGTCCGCTCCCCCCACCCCCACTGTACCCCTGGCACTTGGCAGGTCCCCCTCAGGTGGCCCACAGGGCTCTGCCTCCCGTCTGTTCTGAGGCTCCAGGTCTCTGCAGACAGTGTGAGTAGTGGCCGCGCCCCGCCTCCAGATTGGGGGTCATTGCCATCTGCTGAGGGGTTTGTTTCCTTTCACTCCCACGGCTCTTCCTAATACACTCATTGTGGAGCAGCTGCTCCTGCCTGTGTGCGTGCGTGCGTGTGTGCGTGCGTGTGTGTGTGTG